TTATGTTCTTATAAGATAATATTTTCTAACATTAGGTTATGTTTTTTATATTTTTAATGTTTTTAAATTTTAACTTACAATACTAATACTCATAGTCACGTACAGGACATGTCAATATGGCTTCTGTGACTTATTTTTTATTATATATTTTTTATGTATGTATATTTTAAATTAAATTTGTAAACTCATTGATTCATAATAATAAACATTCATTCATTCATAGAGCCAGGCAATTTTTATTCGAGTTTTCTATCTTTCAATGTATAATATAAGCTAAACTACTTTTTATCAGTCAGAAATGTACAAAACTAGTTCTTTAGGCTCCAGAATCTGTAACTAACTTCTTTAAACCCTGTAGTTATTTTACCAGAAGATCTTTACGACTATATATATGAGTGACAATTTTGCAAAGCAGTATCAACAAAAAAAAAACCAAAGAAATAAAATAATATTCTGAAACTTTAGAAAATGACTGAATAAGTTTGGTTAGTCTAATAAAAATATGACGACCAAATGTTATTTTAAGAAAAAATAACAATCCCAAACAAAACAAGTCTGGATATTAAATAACTTTTAAAGTTACATTATTCTAAGCCGGCCCTTCTCAGACCTGAAATATATTACGGTAACAGATGTTAGATGGATAAAAAATGTTTCAGATGTCTCAAAATAATATGATGTATGCTTGTCCTTGAGACTACTGCAAAATTATAAGATATTTCATATTGATAATATCAAAAGGGTGTTGTAATAATTCAGCTGCGCTCTAACAAAGCTTTGGGATTTTTTTTTCTTCATATTATGTATTTTATTTCAAACAAAATACACTAATTCCCTTTGACTTTTATGTATTAAAGTAAGCAACTCTATCTAGAATATAAAGAGCAAATACTGCAAAGTTAACAAACAAAGGCCGATGAGAATAAACAAACGAGAAATTTGAAGTACATCTAATTCTCTTTTGGCGTAAAAGAACTTTTACATCTCGAGTAGAATCTTCCCAAGCTATGATTCTATAATTAATTCTAGATTGCACTTCGGTAAAGTAAAATAGACGAATAGGGTGCAACTTTAAAGTTTTATTTATAGTTTAACAATTTACCACAAGAAATTTTACAATTTTAATATTTGAAATGCCTCAATTATTTAATGTAGAATGCAGAAAAATTAGTCATTGGAGTAGGAAGCAATGTTACTTTTTGTAATTCAAACAAGAATTTAATGTTGCATTGATAGAAATAGTCCACAATAATATGTTATTTATTGTTTCGGCCTTTACTTGATGAAAATCCATTTAATTTTGAAAGAGTAAAACCAAATTTGGTAGATTTTCACACTTTTATTTTAAAAATAAATTTTTTTAAAAAAACACTAACATGACATATGTTTCGAAGTACAACTTCTTTTTCAAATGTGACTATTTACAATTAGGTATCCAATATATATACGAAATAATTTAACAAAACAAAGTACTTAAGAAAACATCAATAACATTACAAAATAAACTAACTATTTAAAGTAAATAAGGGTACTTAGGTAATTATAATATCCATCAGATAATAATAAGATAGTCCATTACCGGGATTATCTCACAGAACTGGGAAAGAGATTTAATAAGGGTGAATTATTAATATCTAATTGATCATTTAGTAAGTTATCTGAATTTTTAAATCTATTTATTTCAAGTGTTTCTAAATGGTTTAATTTAAGGCTCTTATTTTCTACATGTAAAATTTCAAAGTTGTCTGTAAAAGAATGATTTTCAGCTAAAATATGATTTGAGTAAGTAGAATTATTTTTGTTTTTTGTATAGCTATTATAATGTTCGGAATAGCGTTTTTTGAAAGTACGGCCAGTTTGACCAATATACAATTTTGGACAACTACCACAATTTAATTTATATACCCCCGATTTATTATTAGGATTAATTTTACCCTTATTGTTTTTAATATACTTCCCAAGCGTATTATTGGTTTTAAAAGCTACGTTAATATTTTGGTTTTTTAAATATGATGATACCTTTTCACTAGGAGCTCCTATATATGTAAGACTCTTGTATCTGCAATTTGGATCTTTAATTATGGGATAAACTTGTTGAATAGCCTGTTTAAAAAGTTTTTTCTCTAAAATGTTGTCTACTAACTTTAAATTAAAATTATTATTTACTGCGATTTGTTTAATGATATTTAATTCTTTTGTGAAGTTCTCTTTGGTAAGGGGAATATTAACTAATCTATGGATCATACTGTTGTATGCTGCCATCTTTTGTTTGTATGCATGAGATGAACTATTATTTATTGTAATATCCGTATGTGATGGCTTACATATATAGGAGCTCCTAGTGAAAAGGTATCATCATATTTAAAAAACCAAAATATTAACGTAGCTTTTAAAACCAATAATACGCTTGGGAAGTATATTAAAAACAATAAGGGTAAAATTAATCCTAATAATAAATCGGGGGTATATAAATTAAATTGTGGTAGTTGTCCAAAATTCCGAACATTATAATAGCTATACAAAAAACAAAAATAATTCTACTTACTCAAATCATATTTTAGCTGAAAATCATTCTTTTACAGACAACTTTGAAATTTTACATTTAGAAAATAAGAGCCTTAAATTAAACCATTTAGAAACACTTGAAATAAATAGATTTAAAAATTCAGATATCTTACTAAATGATCAATTAGATATTAATAATTCACCCTTATTAAATCTCTTTCCCAGTTTTCTGTGAGATAATCCCGGTAATGGGCTATCTTATTGTTATCTGATGGATATTATAATTACCTAAGTACCCTTATTTACTTTAAATAGTTAGTTTATTTTGTAATGTTATTGATGTTTTCTTAAGTACTTTGTTTTGTTAAATTATTTCGTATATATATTGGATACCGAATTGTAAATAGTCACATTTGAAAAAGAAGTTGTACTTCGAAACATATGTCATGTTAGTGTTTTTTTAAAAATTTTCATTTTTAAAATAAAAGTGAAAATCTACCAAATTTGGTTTTACTCTTTCAAAAAAAAAAAACACAATAATATGGTACATATATGTACAAGCACTCGTTAAAGGGGTTTAAAATGTTAGTGTTTTAGAAAGGTATATTATAAACTTTCTAAAACACAGAGTTTTTTTCATACATCTGTACTGATACCTATATTCTGTCACTGTGAACCACCCCACGAGCCGCCACTGGGTTTAAACAAAAATATTACAATTATTAATTAATTATAAATACTATTTATGTATAAGTTAAATAGGATTAGTCCTAGAACCGTACCTTGTGATAACCCATAGTCGATAGGTTTTTTATTGCTTATTGTATCATTAACTTTTACAACTTGGGATCTATTATTTAAATAGTTTTCTAACAAAAGTAAACTTTTTCCTCCAAGACCAATGGATCTAAGAGTATGCAAGAGTTTCTGATCGCTTACTGTGTTAAAAACCATCTCAAAGTCAATGAAAATACATAGAGAAGGATTTCCCTTTTGTAACGCGTGGTCAAGGCCGACGAGAGGGGGAGGTAGCCGGTACTAATTCCCGGTGCCCGGGCTCAAGAGAAGGCCCGGCAGCGGCATAAGAGCGGCCCGGCAGCTTTAGGTGAGGACGTTCTTTAGAAGTTCGTCACAAGAGCACAGACAACAAAGAATTGAAAAGATTCTATATATTTGAGAATTAAATGTGATAATAATGAACAATAGTTTTTACTTATTAATAAAAAAAATCTGATGTGTCCAACACATGACTTTCCTATCTAGTTATTACAGGCTTTTTCCGTTTATTGTGTACAACCTATTGCAGCATCTCTATAAATGTTTAGAAGATAAACTAAATATATATACATTGTCCACATACATCTACCGCGAAACATTTTTCTATAGATATTCATTGAAAATGAAAATACTGAAAAATTAAAATTTAGCACTTTTCCTACAATTTTTCCATTACGGTCCATTTAAAAAAAATCATGTATGAACAAATATTATAGAGATCGATATCGCAAACAACTTTTATTTCAACAATTTTCATAAAAATTAGAATTTTGCACATTTTGTCAAATTTCTCGAATACGGACCATTTCAGGAAATTTTTACATAAGGCAAAAATTATAGATAATAATATTAGAAGTACTTTTATTTGAACAATTTTCTTCTCCAAACATAAATAACAAATATATTCCATAAAATATATAAACGGCCTTCCATAAAGTACCCCCCCAGATGTTCCGACTTTGTCCAAAATCTAATCATTTCACGCCAGGCCGAAATAAAACTTAAGTTTAAAATTTATTAATTTTTTCTTTATCCGTTTTTGAGTTTTCTTCAAATTTTGAAATTTACACATTTTCTCAAATATCTCGAATACGGTCCATTTTAGAGAAATTATCTATGGGACAAAAATTATAGAGAATTATATTACAAACAACTTTTGTTTGAACAATTTTTATAAAAAAAAATATTTTTTACATTTTGTCAAATTTCTCGAATACGGACCATTTTAGGAAAATTTTGTAAATGACAAAAATTATAGATAATAAAATAAGAAGTAACTTTTATTTAAAAAATTTTCTTCCCCAAACGTAAATAACAGATATATTCCATAAAATATAAAAATGACCACCTATAAAGTACCCCCCCAGATGTTCCGACTCTGCCCAAAATCTAATCAGCTCATTAGACGCTGGAATAAAGCATAAGTTTGAAATTTGGTGTTTTTCCGTGTATCGGTTCATGAGTTATGCGTTATACAGACACACACACACACACACACACACACACACACACACAGACACACACACACACAGACATCATCGCGAAAATAGTCAAAACGGATTCAGGGGACCTCAAAACGTAAAAATCCGTCGAAAACTCGAGGTCGAAAAAAATCATGATTCCTATACTTTCCTTATATCTGTATACAGATAGGAAAGTAATTATTGACATTTAAAATATCAATAATATTAATTGAATATGATTTTTTTTGTTTGCAGAGAACTTCGATGTTTGAGGAATACGATACACATGAACTTGATGTTATCCTATATGCTAACATACTGCATGTGGATAGTTACACTTATTTCAGTAAGTATTCACAATTTATTAATTTTATTAGTGATTGATAAAATGTAGATAAATAGATAGTAGTTAGGTGTTAGTAATGGGTGATTCATTAAGAGGTACTTTTTCAACAACAAATAAAAATAACAAAATTCTATTTTATGGTGCAATCTTTATTATTATACAAAAAAACTATTTCTGACATTTATTTTTTAAATATTATTTCTTTCAAATGTTGTCCTTGACTTCGGTTGAAATGGTCCATTCTGAAGTTCCAATTTTCGATGACACGTTCGAGCATTTCGAGTGGAATTTGGCAAATGACCCGAGTAATGTTGGCTTCCAATTCCTCAATCATATTCGGCTTATCCATATAGACTTTGGACTTCACGTAGCCCCAAAGGAAAGAGTCTAGAGGTGTGAGGTCACATGATCTAGGAGGCCAATTCACTGGTCCAAATCGTGAAATTAACTGTTCATCGAATTGTTCTCGCAATAAAGCCATGGTTGCACGGGCTGTATGGCAAGTGGCGCCGTCTTATTGGAACCAAATGTCATCGAGATTACGGGCTTTAATTTCAGGCAGCAAATAGTCCGCGATAACGGGCGCAATTCATAGTTACGTTCCTGCCGGCCTCATTTTTAAAAAGATATGGACCGATGATTCCACCAGCCCATAAACCACACCAAACCGTTGTTTTGTCTGGATGTAATGGCAGTTCTTGAACTTCTTCGGGTTGTTCTTCATCCCAAATACGGCAATTTTGTTTATTAACATAGCCATTCAGCCAGAAATGGACCTCATCGCTGAACAAAATTTTGGTCGAAAACATTGGATCTTCTTCAAGCTGTTCAAGAGCCCAAAGACTGAAACTGTAACGATTTGGAAGTTTAGCCGGCTTCAATTCTTGAACGAGTTGAATTTTGTATGCTTTCTAACCAAGACCCTTACGTAAAATACGCCAAGTTGTTGCACATGCCAATCCAAGCTGTTGAGATCGGCGCCGAATTGATTCATTATGGTAATCACGTACACTCTCGGCTACCGCCGCAATATTTTCTGCACTGCGGTCTATTTGGTCGCGTATTATCCAATAATGAAAATTGTGTTTCAAACTTCTCGACGGTGTAGCGAATTGTGCGTTCGGTGGGCCGATTGTGTAGACCATATGTTGCTCTATGAGCACGAAATACATTCCTGGCAGAACGCTGATTCTCGTAGTATAGCTGAATTATTATTTTTAGACGTACCGGGCTAAGTCTTTCCATGATGAAATGTCAGACAGTACTGAACCAAAATACCATGACAGTTCACTCGACTTATGCGTGATCTGTCTTAAACTCGCTACCGAAAAAAGTACCTCTAAATGAATGACCCGTTATTAATTCGACAGTCATCATTAACTAAAATTATGACCACGAAAAACTTCCGATTCTAAAAATACCTTAAACTATAACATGATGTATTATTGAGTTTTTTACAAGCTTTATGCAAATTTTACTAAACATTTTAAAGTTTAAGATACTGCTGTATACACTTTTATTACTGATATGTTGTATTGTATAACCTTTCCTATGTAAGTTACGTTAATTGTTTAGCAATAACCGTAAACTTCCTGATAAATCTTTGATAGTACGTACAGTGCCCATAAAAACTTTGATGTTTATTAGTTGGTTGTGGCCACTGTTTGATAGACGCAGCTTTTTGTCTATCTACAGATATATCTTTCTTGCTGACCTTAAGATTTTATTTCAGAATAGTTCACTTTTGGAGGTTTGGCTTTAGTTAAACGGCTTGCAGTTTCTTATAAACATCTTATAAGTTACTTAGATGTTTATTAAATGTCCTTACCAAGAGTATAATATCGCTTTCCAGGATAACTCTCTCAACGCATATTCTATAAGTCTTTCAAATATCGCGGGGGCATTACAGAGTCCGAGTGGCATAACATTGTATTACCATTTGCATCCGGTGGTAAATATTATATTTTTTTTTATCACTGGGCCCATTTTTATTTGCCAATATCCTGATTCCAAGTTTAAAATAGAAAACAGTCTACATAGATAAACTATCATTCTTGGTAACATTGTTCAACTAACGGTAGTTCACTCAGAACCTCGTAGTTCCATCCTTTTTTTTATTTGGACTACCGGAGAGACCAAGGAGCTAATGGAAGGTTCTTCTATCATTTCCCGAACAATCCTTTGAGCTTCCCCTTTGTTTTTCTTTGGTTTTCTTCCAAATTTTATGTTTTACAACAGAAGTTCTTCCTATTCCCCCTCACCCTTTGGACAATGACTTGACGATATCGTTGAAAAAATTATTTAATTTGTTTTTCTAATTGATTCCGAAATTGACCAGCAAGTGAGTAAGTGATTATTCTTCCATAATTTCTTTTAGCCATGCTGTAATGGTAGTTTTAGTTTTACTAGGAACCATTGCATCTTCCTGTGTAGCTACTGGCTTAGTTCTGCCTTCATATGGATGAAGGAATACTCCTTCAGTACAAACTTCTTAAATTCCTGCTGAAAACCATTTCTAGAATTCCTAGTATAACATCTACTTCCGTATCAGCGACAATAACATATGAGTATATTTTCATATACCAATTCCTAATTCCCCATGATTGTTGGTACTTTCACCTGTGACAGTCCGTCGTCGCAACTTTGTTGGTAAGTCTCTTGCGGTTATTTATGGCTGTTGGTCATGTAGTCATGGTTGCTCCAATATCCACCAACGGTGCATAATGTCTTTTTGAAATACATAAACATTCCAATATGATTTTTCGTGGTAATTATCATGCTTTTCTTAATTTTCTAATGTTATTTCCTTGAAGAACATTTGTTTTGATATCCTATCATTTATTGTAACGTAAATACCTGATTATTTTATCTATTTTGACAATGTGTTTGAGCTCAATTGATAGGGCGTGGGTTAGGTTTTTAAATAACTCGAATAACTTTGAAAAAGAAGTTGGGCACCACTATATTTAAAGCTTATACACTTAACTCTAGATTAGTGATAAAAATATAGAAAATCACTAACCACTAACAAATTATACTGAAACTGTGCTTTAGATAAGGTAGGTATAAAATTCTAATTCACATAAGTCTGCACAAAATTCAAATTTAAAAAAATTTACTGAGTAAATGAATGCACTTATCTGTCGGTACAAAAGGAAAGTTAAAAGGTAAAATCGGGTATTTATTCACTCCAATCTATAGAGGTACACAACATAACACCTCGGTCAGGCAACTTTCACCAAGGGCTTCAGGACCCCTATTCACAATTCTCATTTGATAGTCTAGAGATGAAACCAAAACGATCTTCAGTATTCGAACTTGACTTCGAAACTATCTAGAGATGAAACGTTTAGAGATGAAATCGAAACCGTCTAGAGATGAGATGAGACTAAAATGGTCTATATAGCCATCAAGTGTAAGGGTTAAAGAAAAGGTCCTTTATTTCTCACAAGTCAATTTAATTGGCGACCGGTTTTGTTAAACTTTATGTAGCGCTTCCTTTATGGAAATAGTCAAGGTGTGCCTGATGATGAAGTGACAGCTTCGAAACCGGTCGCCAATTAAATTGACTTGTGAGAAATAAAGGACCTTTTCTTTAACCCTTGCACTTAATCCCTACTACTCACATATGGCTACCCTCACTCCAAATATATAGCCATCAGCTAAAAAAGGGTTAAAATGTTAAGATAGGAAAAATGAAATTTGAAAAGGATTTAGATAAAATGCTTTAACTATTAAGATACTAAAATTATTTTGAAAAGGTTAAATCTTATTAATACATTTAAATATAGTAAAGCATAATATCTTATTCCAAAAGATAATATATAATTTTATATAAAACTAACACATGTGTCATTCATTGTTGAAATAACGAAATGACGGTTCCAACTGTTACATTATGAATACTTATCCATCTATTAGTGTATGAAATAGTACTAACCTTAATCCCTACTTATTTTAGTCTTTTTTCTTTATTAGAAAAAAAAGTTATTGGCTGAAATAAATAATTAATGAGAAAACAAAAACTTTATATTGATAAATTTTGAAGCTTTACTCATTTACTATTATTAGTTAAATAATTATTAATCATATCTTAATATCTAATAAATTACAACAAAAAATCATTATAAAGTTAGGCATTTAACGTCGAAATGAACTTCTAATATGTCACCCACACTTCATGAAAGTTAGTGTTTTATGACTTTTATCAGTAAATTTATGGCACTTAGAAAGAGCTTGAAACTTAGGTTAACTGCACAATGGCCACAACGGATAGCCGAAGTTTTTGTTGGAAAATTTTCATGAGTATTTCTTAAGTCCATCATTCTATTTTTGGATTGGTTCAGTAAAATAACTAGAAAATATTAATTTAACGTAAAATAAGATATTATTTCTATATGGTTATTTGAATTTGTACATCCATTAGAAATGTCAGTTACAGAAATGAATAAAGGCTACATCACTTGTGACTTGTGATGACATGTATGCTTCCTTAAGCTACGACGTTAGATAAGGAAACACAATGTTTACCAGCCTTGAGCGGAACCGACGTCAACTGCTTTATTATTTAGTTTGGTTTGGGTTGTTTTATGTCCCCACTACAACGTTAATCGAGTAAACTGGAGAAAATAATATTCTTCCTTAATTAACCGCAGTGCCGCAGGCATTTGTCGCCAGATGAAAGTATATTTGTACTACCGAATTAGAAACATCCTACTGATCGTTAACGGAAGAGCTGAAATCGATAAATATTAAATCGAAATAGCGACATGATTTTGTACAAATTGTGAACCTACAAAAGGAGTAGAGAGTTCTTATTTCATTAAGAAAAATATTTTCTATATAGGCGATTGTAATTTTTGTATAAACGTTTAGATAGAGATCATGGTTTACTGTCAGATACTGCTAGAATATCGATGGTTAAAAGGTTAAAGGTCATAAGCGACTGTTTGAAGACTTTACAGTAGGATTATTTAAAGTTCCAAAGGTCAAATCAATAC